GTCATCATCATCATCATCATCATCATCATCATCCTAATAATCATAATAATCATCATCATCACCATCATCATCATCGTCAGAAAAAAAAGCATCCTCACCATCATCATCATCATCATCATCATCATCATCATCACCATCATAATCATGGCCATAAGCATCATCATCATCACGATCATCACCATCACCAGCACCAGCATCAGCATCAGCACCAGTATCAGCATCATCATCATCATCACCAGCATCAGCATCATCAGCATTGGCATCATAATCAGCAGCAACATCATCATCACCACCAGCACCATCATAATCATCATCAGCATCATCATAATCATCATCATCCTCGTCCTCTTCTTCATCATCATCATCATCATCATCATCATCATCATAATCATCATCATCATAAACAACACCATCAGCATCATCATCAACACCAAGCTCCTCATCCTCATCGTTTCCATTGCCGTCGTCATCATCATCATCATCATCACCATCATCATCACCACCATCATCGTCCCTCCCTCCCTTCCTCCTCGACCTCCTCGCCCTCTTCCCCCCCCTCCTCATCTCCTTCCTCGTTCCTCCCTCTCTCTCCTCCTCCTCCTTCTCCTCCTCCTCCTCCTCCTCCTCTTCCTCCTCGTTCCTCATTGCCCCCCCCTCCTCCTCCTCCTCCTCCTCCTCCTCCTCCTCCTCCTCCTCCTCCTCCTCCTCCTTCTCCCGCTCCTCCCCCTTCCCCCTACTCCCCCTCCCTCATCCCTCCCCCCCCGTCCCTCCTCCCCCCCTCCCCGCTCCCCCCTCGTCCGTCGCACATCCCGCGTCCGATCTCGCCGGCCAGAGCGGCGGCCGGCGATCGCTCCGCCTGCCGGGCCGGCGCCCGAGGTCTGCGCGGAAGGGTCGAGCGGAGCATGGCGAGGAGGTGGGGAGTGGAAGCGCAGGGGAAGAGCGAGGGAGGAGCGAGGGAGGAGGATGAGGAGGGAGGGAGAGGAGGAGGAGGAGGGAGGGAGAGGAGGAGGAGGAGGAGGAGGAGGAGGAGGAGGACCAGGAGGAGGAGGAGGCGGAGGAGGAGGAGGAGGCCCAGCGTCGGAATGAGTTCGTCAGCCTCGCCTACGCCGAGGAGGAGGAGGAGGAGGAGGACCAGGAGGAGGAGGAGGAAGCGGAAGAAGAGGAGGCGGACGGGGGAGAGTAGAAGAGCTTACGGGCTAGGCGCATGGTGAGGGGGGGAGGTTGGGTGAGAGAGGTGGAGGGGACGCGGCGGGATCGGGCGACGAGAGGATCGGGGACGTGGTGGAGAGGTTGGGAGGGATGGGGGAGGCGAGCAGGGGGAGGGGATCGGCCGACCGAGGGGGCGCGGCGGCTGCGGCACCCCTCACGCCGCGGCCCTACCACCGATACGATGCCCTGATGATGCGAGCCCGCCTGCCTCGGCGGGACTGCACAGGCTGGGTAAGGGACTCGTTGGGCCGCTACTGTGGCCGAATCATTCGGGGGCTGGCTAACAGCTGAGCAGCCAGAGGGCCTCGTCAGCGCTGTCGGTGCCCACGCCACCAGGACAGCCCGAGACCAACCTATTTCGCGTGCCGCCTCCTGTGCCCGTGGAACTGCCCAGACGTGTACAAGTCGTGCACCAGAGTTGACCAGTCATGACCCGAAGAGAATGGGCCTGGTGCACAGCACTGCCCCCTTACGATCAGGGCAGGGTACAGAGAGGGAGGAATAGCACGAGGAACGTTACACTGGGAAACTCATGTCCTCCTTGGCATGGACAGTCTGCACAGCTTTCGACCGACTAATTTGCCATGAAATCAACGCTTTGTGTCCTTGGAATGCTGCCTCCTGCAGTAGCCCGTCTCACGGTCGAGCTCATGCCGAAGCGTGGGCGTCAAGCGCTGGCGCTTGATCCTGCGACCCGAGTTCACAACGGTCGAAATCGTGGCGAGACGCTTATGGACCCGCTGGAGGAGGCTTTCCCAACTATCCAATGAATTCAGCTAAGGCTGGATCAAACTCAGGGCCTTCTCAAGGCCCCCCAGGACCAAGGCGTCGACCCGCTCGCTGCCGAGGGAAGCAGGCCACGGCTGGGGCGCAACCCTGAGGCTCACTGCGTCAATGTGCGAATTGAATGATGGAGCACAGTCTGAGCAACAAGATCTGACCTCTGGAGAATGGCCTGCTTGACGCGCTGTCACCACTGCTTGTGCGGGCCATGCGGGGTGACCCCGTACCGTCGGCGCCAGCCACGGTCGACTGGATCGTTGTCCGTCCAGATTTCGAGGGGCCTTTGGGTGAAGAGGAGGCAGTAATGCCGGGCAGCCATCTCCAAACCTGGGACGGTCTGTGGTCCGTCAACTGTTCTGAAAAGCCCTGGGAAACTACACGCATCTGGCTCTGCATCGAAGTCACAAGCCATTCCCCGGCCAGCTCGAGCAATACGAGGGTCAGCCGAATTAGCCGAGCAGTCCAGGTAAAGTACGCCTGGCCTGGAAGTGGGTCCCTTGGATGCTGGTGAAAGCCTCGACGGTGGGGACGGTAACCACGTTCTGTACCGGATTGGTTTCCTTCCACTTCGGTGCCTCAGGGACCTCGTTGAGCCTGGCTGGGAGAATACCTCGACACCAAAACGTCTGCACATCTGGTTCAGCTGAAACAGACTGTACTGCGTGACTATCCGAGTCCTGGGTAGGGGGTACGGCGGATCAAGTCAAGATCGATGGTCTTGTTTTGGGGACGCTGGTAGGAGCGAGGCTTGAGATCCTCGCAATAATGTCCACACTGTGTGAAGACCGCTCCTCTCCTCCTTCTACCCGTCCATCCTGCAATCCTCTCGGCTCAAGTATTGGACACTGTGCCCGATGAGTATCGGGCCGTGAGAGGGAAAGGACGATTTCACTCTCTCATCTCATCCTCGACCAACGGATTCGACGGTAAGTTCGACCCTTCGGTTCGTGACCTCCGTTCAAACACACCGCGGGCAACAGGTCTCCTAGTCAGGCGTAACTGTCCTCTGTGCAGTCCAAGTGGCTCCAGTCAAAATATTCTCGAATGAATCATCGTAGGGAACGCTGAGCTGCTCGAAGCTTGCCGTCATTAGTACATCCACAACCCACAGGATGCTAGCCAGCCTTGCCCCACAGGCCTTTTCCTCTGTCGGCCTGCACTTCGTCGACGATGCTCTGCAGGCTGGGGCCGTCGGGATTGTACCTAGACCCACCCGTCACCGTTGCTGTCGGTCCACGCTTCAGGATCGTGGAGTTTCCAACCGATCTCGCTCGCGGCCACTATGAACGCGCCGATCTGGCCTGTGACCGAGCGCCACTTCGACCGTGCCTGGGAAGCCTGCGTGTTGGCATGGACGGGTTGCCATGCCAGCCGTGCACGGGCATGGTACCAGGGCTGCTGCTCCCGAGTCACGGGGGGAGGAGTAGGAGACAAGAGGGGGGGGTGTGGGGAATGGCGGGAGGCGAGGAGGATGGAGGATGGCGGAGAGAGCGAAGGAGCGAGAGAAACAGCGAGAGAGAGGGCAAAAGACGTAGGGCGGATGAGGAGGACGATGAGGCTAAGGATGAGGAGGAGCAGCAGCAGCAGCATAAGCGGCGGCGGGAGTAGGATGAGCCAAAGGAGTGCCAAGCGTGCTCTGGCGGAGGTTGCTAAACTATGCTCAGCTATTTTCGTTGACGTTCACACACTCGCTAATCTTCGAATGTCGGGGGTCATCACCAGGAGGGCCGTCGGGTTGCCATCTGGCGCCAACGCCGAAGAACGCCGGCAAATGCTCGTCCACCCTGATCGCGGGGGAAAAAAACGTGTGACCTGTCCGTCGGAGCCTCCACAGGCTCGCGGCGTCGGCCGTGCCCAACGTCCGTTCGGGGACCTCGCGCTGGTACGTGTCGGCCACGCGCTGTGGCTCTGCTGGCCAGAAGCTCAAAATTTTGGTCCGCAACTCTACCGACCCGTTGGAGCGCGCAGGGTTCGCGAGAAAGGGGTTCGATAACGAGTCGCTGCGCGACGCAGACATCAGACAAAATCGCGCGTCCACCGCGGCAACCACCACGTGCCACACCTGTGAGGGTGCTCGGAGAAGCCAGAAATCGCCAGCCGCTTGATGGGCTCCGCGCGACTCTTGACCCGCCGCATCTCGGCGCCAGTCGTCTTCACAGAGGCGGCCAACCAAAGCAGGTGACACCTGGCAGCCAATAGACGAAGAGCGCGCACTGGAGCCTGGGCAGCCACCCCGAACCCCCGACTCGGCGGCGACGATAAGGGCGAATAGCCCAGGGGCGGGCATTACACTTATTCGCCCGGGAGCCTGGTCGAAGACATAGATCATCGGCGCCCCTGGATACATATATTGCTGTTCCCTGGGCTATTCGCCCCTATCGTCGCCTCTGACCGACGCGCATCTCGAGGAAACTGCTCTGGACGGGTACTGGCCGAGCGCCCCCTGCCACCACGGAACCACAACACGCGGCAGCGTCGGGCAGGGGCCGGTCAGGAGCGGAACGCGCAGAAGGCGCCGAGTGCCGTGCGGGTTTGAGCGCTGCGCGGACCTCCTTCCCCTCCTCCTCCTCCTCCTCCTCCTCCTCGTCCTTGTCGCCTTCCTTTTTCCCCGCACTTCCCCACGTCCTACTTCCCCTCCTCCTCCTGCTCAACCACGGCAGGCAGCGGGGACTAATTGTGATCTCAGCCTATCACGGTGCGTATGAGGAGAAGGAATTAGTGGATGATGATGATCATGATGAGGAGGAGGAGGAGGAGGGGAACAGAAGGGGGAAGAAGAGGATGAGGATCAGGAGCGACCGTGCCGCGACGGAGGAGGATAAGCAAGAGATGGAGAGTGGAGAATGAGGACGAAGACGATGATGAGAAATAGGAGGGGTGACTGAAGGAGGACGACGAGGAACAATGGATGGAATGCGACGATGGGGAAGGCGAGGACAAGAAAGAAGACAAATGAATCGATAAGGCACAAGCGCACCCGGTCGACTCGGATCAGCTAGGCGGGAGGCATCATGCATGCGGCCCGGATGGACAGGAAAAGAGCGTGCATGAGCAGCACCTTGAGGCCGAACTTCCTGGGCCGGGCCGGGCTTGAGGGGAAAGCCAGACCATGGCTCCGCCTCTTCCTGTTCCTGTCCCTCCTCGCCCTCGCCCTCTCCTCCTTCTCGTCGCCGTCCTCCTCGCCCCCCTCCTCTACTTCTCTTCTTCTTCTTCCCGCCTCACGTCTTCGCTTGGAAGCTGCATGATAATACGTGGGCGCATATCTGATGTCGGAGGTTCGGGGATTAGATCGAAGCGGAATGGAGGGCGATCCAGCGGGAAATCCGTTTCGGCGTCGGTTCGGGTGTGGCGTGTGAGCGGAGCGAAGCTGCTCGCGCGAGCAAGAGCCGAGAAGCGGCGCAGCTAGATGCAATTTGGACAAGCATGCTCCCCCTTCTCCTGGGGACGGTGCACACCCGCCTGGCGGCTCAGAGTTGGGACGCGTCAGCCACCGCCGCCCTCTCCACTGTCGGTGGCCATGACGAAGTCGGGGGAGAGGGTGCCGAGACGCGCCCAGAGTCCAGCAAGGCACGAGGGTGCAAACCCGACTTGTCTGGCTCATGCTCTGGGGGGCGGCCTGTGCTCAGGGGAGGCTGCAACACCGCTCTGCGATGTGCTGTTTCACCGAACCTGCAGGGTGGACCTTTCCGCTGAACTCCGTGCTTCGGCGCGGACGCGCCTCGACCAAGCGCATATCCTGGCTGGTCGCCGTGCGGTCCTATCTTCTCTGCCCGTGTTTTGTCTTGTGATCTATGCCTTGTCTTGTCGCTGTCGTCGGATTCCCCTGGCTTTCGCACACCCGCCAGGGGGTTGCTGCCACCGCCGCCATCTCCCTTGTCGGTGGTCCTGACGAGGTCGGGGGGGAGGGTGCCGAAACGCGCGCAGAATGCAGCAAAGCATGATGGTGCAAACCAGACTTGTCTGACTGATGCTCTGGGGGCGGCCTGTGCTCAGGGGAGGCTGCAGCACCGCTTTACGATGTGTTGTTAAACCGAACCTGCAGGATGCGCCACTCCCCATGAGGTCCTACCTTCTCTGCCCGTGTCTTGCCTTGTCATATACGTTTTGTCGTCGTCGCCGGGTTCCCCTGGCTTTGCACACCCGCCAGGGGGCTGCTAAGCTCCGGCATCGCTCTGGGACGCGTCGGCCACCGCCGCCCTCTCCCTTATCGGTGGTCCTGACGAGGTTGGGGGAGACAGTGCCTAAACGCGCCCAAAGTCCAGCAAGGCATGCAGGTGCAAACCCGACTTGTCTGGCTCATGCTCTGGGGGGTGGCCCGTGTTCAGGGGAGGCTGCAGCACAGCTCTACAATGTGCTGTTAAACCGAACCTGCAGAGGGCGCCCTCTCCCCTGATTCCGTGCTTCGGCGCAGATCCGCCTCGACCAAGCACCTGTCCCGGCTGGTCGCCGTGCGGTCCTACCTTCTCTGCGCATGTCTTGCCTTATCTTGTCTTGTCTTGCCTTGTCGTCTTGTCGCCCTCGCCATCGTCGTCGTCGCCGGATCCCCCTGGCTTTGCACACCCGCCTGGCGGCTGCTGAGCTCCGGCATCGCTCTGGGACGCGTCGGCCACCGCCGCCCTCTCCCCTGTCGGTGGCCTTGACGAGCTCGGGGGGGAGGGTGCCGAGACGCGCCCAGAGTCCAGCAAGGCATGCAGGTGCAAACCCGACTTGTCTGGCTCATGCTCTGGGGGGTGGCCTGTGCTCAGGGGAGGCTGCAACACCGCTTTACGATGTGCAATTCAAACGAACCTGCAATGTGGGCCCTCTCGCCTGGTTCCGTGCTTCGGCGCAGATCCGCCTCGACCAAGCGCCTGTCCCGGCTGGTCGCCGTGCGGTCCTACCTTCTCTGCGCATGTCTTGAGTCTTGTCTTACATTGTCTCAACTTGTTTTGTCCTGCCGTCGTCTTCGTCGGGTTCCCCTGTCTGTGCACACCCGCCAGGGGGCTGCTGAGCTTCGCCTCAGCTCCGGGACGCGTCGGCCACCGTCGCCCTCTCCCTTGTCGGTGGCCCCGACGAGGTCGGGGGAGACAGTGCCTAAACGCGCCCAGAGTCAAGCAAGGCATGCGGGTGCAAGCCCGACATGCCTGGCTGATGCTCTGGGGGGGCCTGTACTCAGGGGAGGCTGCAGCACCGCTCTACAATGTGTTGTGAAACCGAACCTGCAGGATGCGCCAATTCCCCTGATTCCGTGCTTCGGCGCGGATCCGCCTCGACCAGCGCATGTCCAGGCTTGTCGCCGTGCGGTCCTACCATCTCTGTCCGTGTCTTGTCTTGTCGCTGTCGTCGTCGGATTCTCCTGGCTTAGCTTTGGGACTTGCTGGCCACCTCCGCACTCTCCCTTCTCGGTGGCCCTGACGACGTCGGGGGGGAGAGAGTGCCGAAACGCGCCCAAAGTCCAGCAAGGCATGCACGTGCAAACTCGACTTGTCTGGCTGATGCTCAGGGGGGGGGGCTGTGCTCCGGGAGGTTGCAGCACCGCTCTACGACGTGCTGCTGTTTAACCGAACCTGCAAGGTGGACCTTTCCGCTGAACTCCGTGCTTCGGCGCGGATCCGCCTTGCCAGTGCCTGTCCAGGCTGGTCGCCGTGCGGTCCTACCTACATACCTACCTACCTGGGGACGGTACTCTGCGGCTTGTTCCGCGGTTGTCCCGTTGAGATTCCTGCTTTCCTGGGGACGGTGCCACGTCGTATCCCGTGGTGTTCCCCTCTTTGTCCCTTGCGGCTGCCACGCGGCTGGAAGTTAGTGAGAATAGAGCAGTGCTAGCTAGATCGTTACATCGGTTATAGATCGTGGAGGGAGCGCGTTTTACGGGAGCTTGCCATGGGAGCATGCGGCGGCGCGTTTGAACCGGGGGGGGGGGGGGGGGGCCAAACATTTGGCGCCGTCGAACAGAACCAGGGGGACTCCCCTCCCCCCTCCCCCCCCTCCCCGAACCACCCATCCGCCCCTGCCGCTGGCCCCGGCGCGCCAACGGCGGCGGCGGCGGCGCCTGGCAGCGCCGACGCCGACACCCACGCCCACGCCCACGCCCAGGCCCACGCCCGAGCCCGCGCCCACGCCCACGCCCATGCCAACGCTCACACGCACGCCCACGCCCACACCCGCGCCCACGCCCACGCCCCTGCCCGACGACGGCGCCCACGCCCACGCCCACGCCCACGCCCACGCCCATGCCCACTCCAGCGCCCAGGCCCAGGCCCAGGCCCAGGCCCACGCACAAGCCCAAGCACACACCCACGCCCACGCCCACACCAACGCCCATGCCCACACCCTATCACACCAACGCCCAGGCCCGCGCCCACGCACGGGCCCACGCCCACGCCCAGGCTCACACGCACGCCCATGCCCACACCCGCGCCCACGCTCACGCCCATTCCCGCGCCCAGGCCCAGGCCCAGGCCCGCGCCCACGCCCACGCCAGCGCTCACACGCACACCCGCGCCAACACCCGCGCCCACGCCCGCACCCACACCCACGCCCACGCCCGCGCCCACGCCGACGCCCACGCCCACGGCCACGCCCACGTTCACGGACACGCCCATGGTCACACGCACACACACGCCCTCACCGGCGCCCACGCCCACGCCCACGCCCACGCCCACCCCCACGCCCACGCCCACGACCACGCTCACGCCCATGCCCACGCCCACGCACACGCCCACACCCACGCCCGCGTCCACGCCCACGCCCACTCCCGCGCCCAGGCCCAGGCCCAAGAACACAAAGAAAATCATGCTCACCTGGGGCGAACCAGGAGGCAGGCTGACGCCTTGGGCGGACCTGGCGCAGCTAGGCGCAGTGCAAGGAAGACCTGGATCCCTGGAGCCCCTTGAGCCACTCTTGCTTGAGCGTGGTGAAATGAAAATGCGGCTTCGAGATGATATTTCTTAAGTGATATGGTTTCCCTATGACTTCGGCAAGTGCGCACAGGCAGAACAGCTGCACTATTTTTTTAAACACGAACTTCAAGGAAGCCTTCATATTGAAATTTATGCAGGCCTGGTGTTGAGTGTGATTTCGACATGTGCCCGCGCGTGGACTTCGCGCCACGTCTTGAAAACATAAGACTGGTAACTTATATTTGAAATAAACGAGTGCACGTGCATATTATTAACTGAGAAGAGAAAAAGCGGGTCAATGCCAGACTGGTTGGGATGATATAAACTCAAAGAGAAAATTCACGATTTAGCAACGTAACTTGCATTGTCCCAGGGGGTCGAGCGAAGACCGGGCTCAGGAGGTGGTGAAATTATGTTATGCACATCTGTATGTGTGTTTGTGTTGTTTGTATGTGTAGATATACACATATGTATATACAGATGGGAATTCATGCGGCGCGAGCTGTGCGGTACAAGCGATGTGGCGTAAGCTATGTGGTGCAAGCATGCGGTGCAAGCTACATTGTGCAAGCTCTGTGGTGCAAGCTTTGCGGTGCAGTCCGATCGGTGCCAGCTGTGAGGTGCAGCATATACGTGGCGTGTGACATCCATCTGGCGCAAGCTACGTGATGTGCGGTGTAAGCCATGCGGCGCAGGCTACACGGCACAAGCTGTGCGGGGCAACCAGTGCGGACGCCCCGCGCGCGAGGCGCCCACGAGACGCCCACAAGGCGGCCACGGGCGGACACCGGGCGACACCTCGGCGCGCCCACCCAGCGCACGAGGCGCCCACGAGGCGCCCACGAGGCGCCCAAGGGCGGGCACCAGGCGGCGCCTCGGCACGCCCACCCGGCGCACGAGGCGCCCACAAGGCGGCCACGGACCGCCACGCGGCGAAACCGCGGCACGCCCTCCCAGCACGAGGCGTCCACGAGGCGCCCGCGGGCGCTCCCCAACCGGGCACCAGGCGAAACCCCCGCCCGCGCACACACACACACACACACACACACGCACACACGCACACACGCACACACACACACACACACACACGCACACACGCACACACACACACACACTTTTTGCGTCGGCGGCTGGGCAGAGGGTGACTGCTTCGGCGATAGGGCATCAGTGGGGCGCGCTAGATGTAAATTTGGCAGGGGTGCACGTGAGGAGGGGATGAGACCCCGGCGCGACGGGAAGAAAAAGCTGGGCCCGCTCAGGCAAGTCACCAGCTGCGGCGGAGGCAGCGCCGGGGGGGGGGGGGAGCCAGCCGCGGCGCTGGGCTGCAGCTGGGAGGGATAGCAGCCCAGCGGCGCAAGTTCTGAGACCAGACAAAGTCGAGAGGACCAGCCGGGACGGAGCCCGCGGGGGCAGATGTCGGATGGGCAGCAAGCGGCTGTGCGGAGAAAAGCGTGTCACATGTGGAGGCGGTCACCAGACTGATGGGGGAGCCGGCAGAGGTGGCGATCTCAGTGGTGAGGCGAGGCGCCGAGATCTGATGATTTATGAGGCGCGGCGGGAAGCGAGAAGAGCGGAGCGCCGGCAGCCACAAGTGCGCTGGGCTGAGCGCGGCAAGCGCAGGCCGGCGTGAAGGCGCAGGAAACGGGGGCGACGGAGACCAGCCACGCCATCAGGGGGAGCGGCATGGAGCTGGGAGTACCAGCAGGTGGGCGGACGGGCGCTGAGACCTGGTGACCTTCGAGGCGCGGGGAGGGGTGCAAGGCGCCACGGATGCGCGGCACTGGCCCACCCACCAATAGACCGGCCTGAAAACCTGGCCCGGCACAGAAACGGAAAGAGCGCTGCAGCAACAGAAACCGAAATTACGCACACCACCGTTCGTACTGGGAGCCTTGGCGTTGACAGCTGGTTACGTCACCCCTCGCTCTTGGGAGCCTTTGGGTTCAGAGATACGTCACCGCTGTCTGCTGGGAGCCTTGGTCTTATCAGCTTGTTTACGTCACCGTTCGCTCTTGGGAGCCTTGGTGTGAAGAGCTTTTTGCATTACCGATCGCTCTTGGCGTCTCTGGGCCGTCGTGGGAGTCCTATTGGGGCCCTTTTCGGGCCCTCCTGGTGGCCTCTTGGGGGCCTCTGGGGGGCCTCTTGGGGCTTCTTGGGGCGCTGTGGGGGCCTCCTGGGAGCGTCTTTGGGCGAAAGGCTAGACTTTCGGGTTCGTGGTCCCCCTCTTGGGGCCGTCTTGGGGCCCTCTTGGGCCGTCGGGGGCGCCTGGTGGGTCGTCTGGGGGCCCTCTTGGGCCGTTTTGGGGGCCTCTTGGGAGCCTCTTGGGCCGTCTTGGGGCGGTCTTGGGGGCCTCTTGGACCGTCGTCAACGCCGTGAAAGCCGAAAAGCCGTGTATGCTAAAAATGTACGTTTCCCAATAGAAAGCTTATGATTTTGGCCTCCTGATGGCCTCGTGGAACGCCTCTTGGGGGCCTCTTGGGGCTTCTTGGGGCGCTGTGGGGGCCTCCCGGGAGCGTCTAGGGGCGATAGGCTCGACTTTTCAGTTCGTGGTCCCCCTCTTGGGGCCGTCTTGGGGACCTCTTGGGCCGTCGGGGGCGCCTCTTGGCTGTCTGGGCCCTCTTGGGCCGTTTTGGGGGCCTCTTGGGAGCCTCTTGGGCCGTCTTGGGGCGGTCTTGGGGGCCTCTTGGGCCGTCGTCAATGCCGTGAAAGGCGAAAGCCGTGCATGCTAAACATATACGTTTTCCTTTTCGGGAAATCTATGATTTGGGCCTCTTGGGGCCCTCTTGGGGCGCCCCTTGGGCGCCTCTTGGGGCGTCTTGGGGGCCTCTTGGGAAGTCTTGGGGCTGTCTTGGGCGGTGTCAGGCGGCAAGAGGAAGCATAGCCCCGAGCAGAAGCTGGAGGCATGCGCACGCACACGCACACGCACACGCCACACGCACACGCACACGCACACGCACACGCACACGCACACGCACACGCACGCGCACGCACGCACGCACGCACGCACGCACGCACGCACGCACGCACGCACGCACGCACGCACGCACGCACGCACGCACGCACGTAAGAACCCCCAAACGCAAGCACTGATCGAGGAATAAAACGTAGCTCAAAGAGTCAATCCCTCTACGATTCTACGGTTGAAACTATTCCGACGTCTAAGCAACACAAGTAACACAGGTTGACTGTCTCTTCTAATGATATTAATTCGTCTAACGCTTCTAACCCTTTACTATTTCAATACCGCTAACAATTCGATACCGGCCAACTCCCAGGGGAGAAGAACATGTGCCACCTCGCGCACATAATAGCTCTGCCATCCGCGTCCGGCGGCCATGGGCCATTGCGAGGTGTGGAGGGGAAGAGGAGTCGTTGGGGGAACGGGCGGGGATGGAAAGGGGATGGGGATGAGAAGGGGGATGGGGAGGTGATGGGGAGGGGATGGCATGGGGAATGATAGGGGATGGATGGATGGATGGATGGATGGATGGATGGATGGATGGATGGATGGATGGAACGCGGGGGGGTCGCTTGATCTCAGTGCCATGGCCTGGGCATCTAAGTGCAATGCTCTGCCGAACATGGAGTGCCCCCTACTTGGCTTTTGAGAGCGGACGAGGGGCTAGAGATTCTATACCGCAGCCTGACTCGCCCGTCAGTCTTCCCGTCCTCCCGCGCTGGCGAGCCGTCGGCAGGGATGCATAAGCATGATCCCGCCTCTCATTACTTCGGATGCCTACGCCTCCTGACACCTACCTCTCTTGAAGCACGGGGAGGAGGACGACGCAAAAGCCTGCCAGCATCTGTCAACATCTGCTTGGCTCTCTCGCTTCCTGCTGCTGCCATTCGCTCTGGGTAAGCTAGCACACTCGGGTCGCCTGCTGCGTGCTGCGAGACGACCACTCCAGCAGGAACGGAGTGCGAGGGCGAGGAGGAGGGGAGGCTCGGAGGCTCGGGAGGGACGAGTGTGAACTGACTCGGCCGCCTGCGGGGGCCCCTGCGACCCCTCGACACGCAATCAGGAGTCCCCCGCCCGTTTGCCTCGATCGAGGCTTCATGGGGATTGGAAGGGGAGGGGAAGGGGATGGGAAGGGGGGGGGGGGGCAGAGGGCGGCACGAGCACCCGCGATTCCAGGCTCGAGATCGCATGGGGGGGCTCCTGAACACCGCGTTGGGGTCCCCGCACTTCGAGATCGTGGCGTCGACGTAGGACGTCGGAACCATGGTCATCGTCACTACAATCAGAAACACCTCGGCGCGCACGTCTGTCGGCCCCGATCCCCTGTCCTCACCCCGCTTCTCCTTCTGTCCCTGTCCCTTCTGTTCTCCCACTCTGCACACTGGCGCCCTGATCGCACGCGTCAGCGGGGGAACTCCTTGCCATCTGGAGCTAGTCTGGCGAAGGGCCCAACTCGATGCAGCTGCGTGCAGCGCAAGGCACTGCCTTAGCCTCATACACTGCGCGCCGCGGTCCATGAGAGGCACAATGTGTGTGTGTGTGTGTGTGTGTGTTTGTGTGTGTGTGTCTAGGGATGTGCCGAACTAAGCGGGGGACGCGGACTGGAACGTGCCCACTGGGCGGGCTGCCGCCAGGGTGGCGCCGCCAGGGCCGGCGAGGGCTCCCTCGGCCTCTGCAGGCGCGCAGCCCGTGGGCCCGTGGGCAGCCCACGGGGCCCACTGCCGCTCCATCCCGCGCTGACGGTGCGGCGCGCCTCGGGCTGACGGCGGTGGCGCCTGCGCCGGCGCCGAAGATCCTGTCCGAGGAGGAAGAGGAGGAGGAGAGGAGGAGGAGGAGGAGGAGGAGGAGGAGGAGGAGGATGAAGATGAGGATGAGGATGAGGATGAGGATAAGGATGAGGATGAGGATGAGGATGAGGATGAGGATGAGGATGAGGATGAGGATGATGATGATGATGATGATGATGAGGAGGAGGAGGAGGAGGAGGAGGAGGAGGAGAAGGAGGAGTAGGAGACCGTGGCCCGAACTGGCTGCGAAACCGAACCGTACCCCGAGGCCGTCGGTCGCTGGAGGCTGGGCCCGCGGGGCCAGCCAGCCTGCTGGCCCTCCAGTCGGCGGTGGCCGACGCCCTTACGCGGGCGCACCAGACGGCGCGCGACCAGACCCTCTCCTCCCCTCCCTCCTCTCTCCTCGTCCTTCCCCTTCCCCGCTTCCTCCCCCTCCCCCCCTCCCGTCCCAACCCTCCCTCCCCTCCCCTTCCTCCGCTCTGTCCCTGCCTGCCTTCCTTCCTCTGGCCCTGCCTGCCTCCCTCCCGCACCCGCCCGCACCCGCCCTCCCTGCATCCCTCCTTGCCCCCGTGCTCCCCCGGCCACCCGGTATCGCCTGCCTCCCTCCCGGCCTTGCTCTTCCCCCGTCCTGCTCTCAACCTGCCTGCGCTCCGGCCGTTCGCGCGCCACGGGGAGGGCGACCTGAAAGTTGGGGTCCCTCTTCTCAAAAACGAAGTGGTAGGACAGGATCATTAAGAAGGACAGGCCCAGGATAACGCACGGGAGAAGCAAGGAGTTTTGCCTTGCGTCTCGCGGCACGGGCATCGGAGGGGAGGGAGGGAGGGAGAAGGCGAAGGGGGAGGGAGGGCGGGAGGGTGGGGCGGGAGAGGGGCCGGGGAGGGATGGCGTGGAGGGGAAGCGGGGCAAGGCAGAGGGGAGGGGGAGGGCGGGCGGGCGCGAGAAACAGGGGGACGGGGAACAGAGGGGCAGTGAGGGATGGCAACGGGAGGGAGCGAGGGGCCAGAGGGAAACGAGGAGCACGGGGGAGGGCAGGGCGGGAGAGCACCAGTGTGGAGAACCTGCCGCCCTCGTGCGGGATCGACGGGTTGGCGCCGGGGCACTCCCCCACTGCTCACGGTCAACCCTCCTCCTCCCTCTCCTCCTCCTCCTCCTACTCCTCCTCCTTCTCCTCCTCCTTTTCCTCCTCCTTCTCCTCCTCCTCCTCCTCCTGCCACTCTTCCTCCTCCTCCTGCCCCTCCTCCCCTTCGTCCCTTTCGTCCCCTTCGTCCCCTTCCCCCCCGTCCTCCTCCTCCTCCTCCTCCTCCTCCTCCTCCTCCCCCTCCTGCTCCTCCTCCTCCTCCTCCTCTTCCTCCTCCTCCTTTTCCTCCTCCTCCTCCTACTTCTCCCCTTCTTCCCCTTGTCTCCTCCTATTCCCCCTCCATCGGGGATCTTCTGACCCAGGTCAGTCCAGACCCGGGTCAGCAGGAAATCAAAAACTGCAACGCAGGAAAAAACTGCAACGCAGGTCTTCGCAAACCCGGGTCAGCCAATATGCGCGGCCGCCTCGCGGCCACGAGCGGCTCGCTAACCCGGGTCAGCCAGAGGTGGCCTTCGCAGGATCCTGCAGGATCTGGCGCCCTGGCTGACCCCCGTTTGCACTGACCCTCGTCCCAAGGCTCCTGAATCCGCGGCCCCGGTGAACCAAATGTCCACTGGGGCCAAATGTCCACAAATACGAAGGGGGCGCGCCTATGCGTGCCTATCCGGAGATTTTTCTCGATTCCAAGGTGGAGGGCGACGCTCCCCCGAGGCGCCCGCGAAAAGGCACGCCCCCCCCCCCCCCCCTCACAATTATAACACAAGTCGCGAGGAGAGGAGGAAGGGACAAAGGAGGGAGGAGAAGGAATAAATGGAGAGGCAAAAGACCAGCGCAGTGGCAGGGGCGGCCCGGCAGGGAAAAAAAAGGGCGCAAGGGGAGCGGGGGGCGGGGGCGGGCGCGCAGGTGGCGGGCAGGTCGCGGGGTGCGTGGCTGCGGCAGCTGGAGTACCTGGTCGCTGAAGTGGGCGTTATGGTGATGGTGGCTGTGGTGGTCGAGCAGGTGGTGGCGGTGGGGGCAGCGCTGGTGGCGGTCGAGCTGCCAGCCAACGCAGCAGGCCACGGCCGTCCTGGCCGCTGTGGAGCTGCTGGTTGTCCCGGCGCCGCTGCGCGTGACGCGCCCTCTCGGCGGCGTGCTTCTGGCAGCGCTCCCGCCGCCCCACTGCGACCAAGATGGCCTTGGCGCTTCCGAAGTGCGAACGCGTGCTCAACCGTTGCCAGCCATAGCGGATGACCTCTGTCCGCTCTGCAGGGGCCACGTCGTGGCCCCATGAGCGGACGCATGCCACGGTGGCGTCTCCTGGGCGGCCCCCTGGTTCGAAGACCACAGGGATGAGCTGGCCCCCGTCGGGCGGGTAGCGCCGCTCGGCGTCCACCGGGCTGGTCGCGACGAGGCCGTTCTTGTTCGAGCGGGCCTGCTGGCGCGGCGCGGCGCCGCTGTGCGCGTAGGTCACGCTCGTATCAAAGACCGCTGTCTGGCCAGTCACCGCGTCGCGGGTGGCGGCGTCGAGCCGCGCCTCTTCGAGGCGCCCCGTCTGCGGGTTCCCCCTGTTCCAAGCAACGACCGGTTGCTCCGTCTGCGCTGCGCGTCCTGTGGTCCGCTGGCGGTAGCCGGCGCAGAAGTCCTGGAGGCAGTTGTGCTTGTTGTCGCGGTAGCGGCCACGCGGGACTTGAGGGCGTGGCGCCCGCGTCGGTCAAGTGCCTCCCCGCACAGCGTTCAGTCGGCTCGCGGAGCTTGCAGGTTGCGCCCGGCGGGCACACAGGGCACGCGCAGCTTGTCCTTGAGGGCAACGCGGAAGGCCCCGCCCGGCATTTTAACAAGCGTCTCTCCCTCCCGGACGACGGGCGGCTCCAGGTACCTTCCCGCCCCTGGGCCACCAGACGAGCGGAAGTCCACCCTGTCGCCTGCCCCCAGGGAGGCCAGCAGCCGCTCGCGCTCCTTGCTGCGGAGGTCGCCCGCCCACTTTCCCTGCATCCCCCTGGAATGGTTCGCCCATGCAGCCGGTCACGTCGATCGCTTCGAGAGCCCCCCGCTCTGCGTCTGCAGCCGGGCCTCTGCCCTCGCTATGGCCTTGGCCACAGGGCAGCGCTCCTTGCACCGCGCCCAGGAGCGCTCGTCCAGGCAGGCGCCCACGCTGCGGAGGGCAAGCGCCCAGCTTCCCAGGTAGGCGGCGGCCGCCGCCTGCGCCGCCGAGGCGAGCCTGAGGCCCCCGTCGGTCAACCAGACGAAACATTGCGCCCGCTGGTCGTCGTCGAGGACGTCGCCCAGGAATATCCAGGAAAACACCCACGAAATGTATGAAGGTCCCGTCGGGCCTGGTCAGCCAGTCCCCGTCCTCGTAGTTTGCGCGAAGCAGGTGCGTGACGCAGCCGTTGCTAGAGGTTTGGGACAGCCAGAAGCACTCCCTCGCCCCGAGCCTGGCGCCCCGCAGTTCTTGGAGTCGGCTGACCAGTCGCCCTGCGGTTGGAAGGCCTCGTCGCCGTCGGCCCGCCCGTCGACAGCGAGCAGCGCCAGCGGGTCTTCCAGCTCCACCAAGGGCGCGGTGGGCCCCAGGCAGCGGAGAGTGGGCGTCGGCAACGCTTTGAGCAGCGGCGAAAGTCGAGAAACAGGGTCTCGGGTCCACGCCGCGGGTGTGCCCTCGTTGATGGTGAGTCCTGCCCGCGTGAGCTCCTCCACCACCGTCTGGGCCGCTGCCTCCCCCAGCGCAGCGGGAACCACCACGACCAGGTCGTCTAAGTAGAAAAACGCTCGGGCAGTCGGCGCCGCGGCCCGCAGGCGAGCGTCGATGTTGGATAACGCCTCCGCC